TCATCCCCAACCATGATTCATGCATCAGTAATACCCTCACCACCTACTGCTACAGCCCCTCCAGAAAACTGAATGTTTTCAGAGAAGCTAATGCCATTTTTAGAGGAACCCACCAGAACAGTACATACTCACAGATTGATCATGAGAAAGCAGGCCTCGGTGATCCGGAGATAAAAAGATGATCTGTTATCAGTGACTGTAAGGATGCTAACCTGTTACGCTTTACTTTGTTTACAGATTTCAGTTTAGTTTCCTCAAGGCGCTTTACATTGTACCCTATCAATAATACAGAAGATCATGTGAAAGTTTTTCTATAGAAGGATATAAGAGAAAGAATAAGTCTAAAAAAGAAAAATAACAACATGAATAACTCTGTATCAGTATTTTCTATTCAATCATTTTACGATTTTGCTGAGTTAACCTCCTACTCTTCCACAACATGCATTTTTAATTTCTCTTTGATATTTGGGCATATTGGGGCCCGATGAATGCAAAAACAAAGAATTACCAGATTTTTTTTCAACCTTATTTTTGTTTTTAAGAAAAATCAGAGCCACATATGAGGATATTCGTTTAAAATTTTGAACAGTAGCAGTATAATGTCCTCGTAAGTGGATTTCAGGCCTATGTAGAGCAAAATTGAGTATTTTAGTCTAAATAACCCAAAATGTGATGTCCATATATGTGGACGCCAGGTCCTAGGAGGTTATGACAGGCTTTCTAAGTATTTGGTTTCAAACTGAACTATTTTCAGCTCACGGGTCTTTACACGAATCATGCTACAAAAAGCTAATTCTGTCATTAGTTTGTGTCTGCTTCTGACTTTCATTGATTTTTTCTGCAGCTTCTAAAGTTCACTTTGTAATCACTTTGTCCACACCAGTATTGCTCTACAGTAGCATTAAAGCTGGGGCAGGCAAAAATGCTGTTTAGTGTAATTGGACAAAAGAAATCTATAATACTCACTCAAGACTGCAATTCAAGTGGTTTTAACTAAAGTCCTGCTGGAGATAGGGATCTTTGACAATCAAAGGTCCTCAGACCAGATCGGAAGAGTAGTTTGTGTTGTATAAAGACTAAAGAGCACGCAGGAAATACAATGTGATAGTGAAAAAGATTAATTAGAAGATTTTCACTTTTGCGAGTGACGTTCAGGTCCGACGCAAAGCCAAAAGCTGGTTTAATAAATGTATGATGCAGGACTGAAAGGATGTATTCCTGCAGTTCTTGAGCTTATTTTAACCCTTCTAGTTAAAATCACAGTAATCACATGATCATTTGGCCTCATGATTTCATTATATTTGTTGTCATATCACAGTTGAGTTATGAAAACAAATATAAACTACAAATATAAATAGAAACATACGTGTTATTGTATTTAATCGGGTAGAGCTGGGTATATGTTGCATATATCTTGTGAATGCCCTCAGTAATGCATAAGGTCAGCTGTTATGTTAATGTAGGACACATCAGATATACTAATACTATATCATATACTGTAAGTATACGCCATGATTCCATAGTCCAGCAGCAATAACTTAAATTAACAATTTCATGGATAAATTTATCAGACTCTCACATTATTCTGGATGTTTTCAAACACTCATTTATGCACTCGTGTCCTCAGGGGTCACAAAAACATTTCAGCCAGAAAGACTCGTGTTTGATTCTAAAATACTAGGATACTGAGGAGTTCATGGTCCGCTGCTACAGTCTAATGCAACCGGCTAAGGTCCTGTGGCTGCATAACAAACTCAAATCATCACCCCTCCACCACCGTGCTGTCAGCTGGTATGAGGTGTTTGTGCTGATATCTACTACCAGCATACTGATATGACCTGACAAACTGAGCTGATATGTTCTATTTTTTGTCTCACTGCGTATTTTGGCCAAACATTTCTACCTTGTCCAAAGGACATTGTTCCATAAATCTTGTGGTTTCTTCAGATTTGCAGTCTTAGTCATGCTCTCATGCATTCTTCAGAGAGAAGAGGCTTCCTCCTCACAAGCAAGTCAAATGACTCGCTCAGAGCATTTCCTAATTATTCCACTATCATAAAAAAATAATGCTCACTTTCAGCTGTTGCCTGAACACCAAAGGGATTTGTCTCTCCAAAAACAGCAGCCTTTCACTTGCTAAGTGAATGTGTAAACCACTACATTCATGACCTTTAGCATGGTAACTCAGGCCTGGAGAGTCTCCGATGGAGCTCTTGGGCTTTTGCAATATTCTCGGAGAATTGCACGGTCTGACCTTGGGGTGAAATTGTTGGGATCATGGCATTGTGTTAACACACAGAGGCG